TATGAAAGAGACTTTTTATACGCCGTTAGAGATAAGTCCTCTTCACTCAAAATGCCTGAAATCCTCCAAAAAGAAGGAAATCGTGAAATCATTCGTAAAGTAAGTCTTAATGTATTGATTGGTTAAAGAGATTGTATGAGACATACTGTTTGAGCGATATTTATGCCGAGTGTTAATGTTGTCGCCAATAAACTACTTCTACATTTCCCTATACATACCCATACAATAAAATAGTGGCGACAACATTAACGCTCGGCAACATTAACACTCTCACCGTATATGATGAGCGTTATCCCTGTCTTATATCACTTGAAGACAAAATTCCTCGTTTCTGATCAATTGGTTTATTTGCCATTTGAATGATTTGTGAATTTGATTTGAATGTGTTTTGAATGACTTGTATTATTCACATTAGGAATCAAGCGGTGGTCACACTGAAGACGCGCCGCTCAACTTCTTTATGCCCACATATGTTAAGTCTAACAGTAGAATAGGAACGGTATGTCTATTGATTGAATGGTATTGTATGCGACTTTGACTGACATAATACTCTTGCGATAGGTTCCGGGCCGACGGGTCAGTACTGGAAGACAACCCGAGACTAAGAATCGAAAGATTATTTCTACTTCTCTGACACAAGACGTGAAACTCCACACAACAGAGAACGCGTGGAAACCGTTGGCGAAACAGTTTAAAGACGTGGCCGATCCCGACGAACAGGAAACTCTGGAACTGCTTAAGAAAATTCGAGGAATTCTGAATAAACTGACGCCACAGAAGTACGACGACTTGAGTAAACAAATCCTGTCCTTCAAAATCGACACCGAAGACCGACTCAAACGAGTCTTAGACCTGGTGTTCGAGAAAGCGGTGGACGAACCGGCCTTTTGTCTACAATATGCAAATCTTTGCAAACATTTGTCCAAATTTAAAGTTATGGTCAATAAGGAAGAGAACGCCGAAGAAGTGAAGTTTCTTAAACTACTTCTTCATAAGTGTCAGAAGGAATTCGAAGCAGACATTTATGCGTCGATTACTGATTTGAAGGAACGACAAGAAGAGATCGAGAAGTGCACTGATCCGCAGCAGAAGAAGTTCAAGAGGGAAGTGCTCGACGAAGACATGAGGAGAGCCCGCAAGAGAAGTTTGGGAAACATTAAACTGATTGGAGAACTCTATAAGTTAAATATGTTGAAAGCGAATATTATGGTTCAGTGCATTGACAACCTTATCAAAGATGCGGACGACGAGTCTCTCGAATGTCTTTGCGCTCTCTTGAGGACAATTGGAGGACAGATCGAATTGGAAGCGTCCAAAAGTCAACAGCAGACTATGCTTTTGGACGCATTCTTTGGGAAAATGCAAAACGTTGCCGACCATAAGGACCCCAAAGTGAAGGGCACGTCGGCTCGCGTGCGCTTCATGTTGAGAGACATTAACGATATGCGAAGGAATGGTTGGAAGGCTCGGAGGGACGAGAATCTGCCCAAAATGATCGATGAAATCCATTCGGACGCTCAGAAAGAAGACGAACAGATGATTAGAGACCGTCACCAGCACTCCAGTAAGAAACAGCAGGAGGAAAGGGATCACAACAAAAAGGGTAATTACAAGGTTTTAAATGCTATTCACTCTTATATTAATAGTATTGTTTGAATACAGGCGGACGACAGGGCAACGAATCGGGCGAAGGCGGCGCTCAATGGACAACAGTAATCGGCCGAAAGAGTCAAAACGCTTCCCAACCCAACATTGACTGGCAGAAGATGCGGAATATGGTATGTTATGGCATATGATTGTCTTGTA